TTTGAAATTTTGAAAGTTTGGAACCTGACCCGGGCCGACAGGTACGGGTCGGGCCATGGCCGGGCCGGGCCGTGACAAGAATGCTTTTACCGATTTTTAGGGACCAGGTAGCCCTCTTCGCCTGTTACATCTAATTGGCCGGATGAAAGGTCAGCGTTATACGATATAACGTATAATGGCAATGTTTTTAGTGCTTCTGGGAAACTTCTGGCCAATTTTGATACGTTATAATAATTTATTTGATTCAGGACTATCAGTCTTTTATTAAATCTTTTTTTTGGAAGCGAGTTTTTGGAAGCGAGTTCCAGCAGGATATGATACGGAGAGTAAGAAATTGAGCAGAAAGTTTTGAAGCATTTTTTAATGTACAGCGAATGTAATATGGATGGCGTCTTAGATGATTATGATGAAACGGGACAATGAATAGATTATGGGCAATTGCAATTTCCCGGGAAACTAGAGTTTTATACATAAAAACTAGATCGGATAGAAGTCGACGGTACTCTAAGGATTCTAAATTGTGATCACGGAGACAATCAAAGTAGGATATATAGGGATAGTTGAACTTCTTGTAACATCGGAACAGGAATGACTTTTGGACGCCTTCAAGAAGCTAAATTATTAACCTCTTTTTGGGCGAAAGTTCTAAAAATTGAAACTAAAACTAAAACTAAATTTTCTAAAACGTTCTCAGTTTCAGATTCTTAATAAACTGTTAACCTTTTCGTTTGTATTCATTAGATTATGCCGCGTTCAAAGTAGCCTCCGGGAACTGGAAATTGCGTCCAAAGCATGTCAATTTTTCCAGAGTTTCCATGGACTCAAAACTTCGATTTCCCTCGTTGTAGCTGTGTTTTTTTCTTCGACATCAATTCGAGGTCCAAAAAAAAGAAAGTTTCTTGTTAATTTACAGCGGCCCTAAAAAAATATCACAGCTACAACGCGGAAAATCGAAGTTTCGTGCTCCTGGAAAACCTGGAAAAATTAGCAGCTTTGGACGCAATTTCCAGCAATATTACAATACAAAGGGACCATTTTCTCTTTATGTGATTTCATTAGATATTAAAAATATGGCTCAAGGAATACAAAAAGAAAATTATTGAAATCCAACCACGACACGGAATGTCTCTCCAGCACTTAAAATGTTTCCCGCATGATACTGTCCATCCATCCAGTCTCCCGGTCCACGCTCCCTGATATCTGTATGTGTAGAGCGAACAGCTACATATTCCTTAGATCGAACCGTCAACATGAAAGCGCAGTTTTCCATTTCTCCTCTCCAGTTCCGAACTTGCCAGTCGAGCATCCACTCGGCATTTCGATTGTTCTGCTCTGTTCGATGACGATAGATGTGATCGAATTTCTTCTTCATATCCTCACTAAACTTTTTCATCTCCGCATCACTCGCAGTTCTTCCCTTTTTGCTTCTGAATATGTACACGTTGCAATGTTTTCGATCCAACGATGCGATAGTTTGATCAGCAGGGTCTGCGGCTAGCAAGCATCGATACGCCGATCGGCATACAACGATGTAGAAGAGATCGCTGGAAATTTTTATGATGTAGATTTTTAGATGAAAGTCATCGGGGATGACTAGCCTAAACTCACTTTGTCATCATTTTATCCAATCCCTCCTTGATCATCTGGGCCTTTTCTTCGCTTGTCTTTTCCTCATTGTTATCTTGAATACCCTCCACAAACTGACGAACTTTATCCGGCCAAAAACTACTGCCAACCTTAAAAGTGTATGTAGTATTTAACTAAACCTGCTCCCATTTTCAAATACCTGATACTCAATCTCCCACTTCTTTACAACTTCCTCAAATCTTTCATATTGCTCATAGATCTTATTGGGGCGATAGGTGTCCCGATCATGAACTAGGCCACTGGCGAAACTTTCTAACATCCACTGAAATTTGTTTACCAAGTTGTTGTCAAGATCTTAATTCATTTTAAAGACTTACAAGTTGCGCGAACACCGCTTCAATCATATTTCTACAGTTTGTGAATGTCTTCTCAGCCATTAATGTGTCAGCGGACATTGCTTGTTTCAGAAAATTGGTCACCTCATTGCTCAGAAGTTGCATAAGAGTCTGAAAAATGATTTCGAAATGATAGTTTTGGAATTTCAGCACCTCTCCAAGCTCCAACGGCGAGTGTTTTGCATAGGTCTCCTTGAAAACTTGAACACGGTCTTGGCGAGTTTTTTGGTCGTCCGAGCCAGTGCAATCCGTCCAGAACTGGCACATAACTTGCGCTGGAACGGCGATGTTCTGGAATTTTTTATTTCAGAATTTCAGAAATTCGTAATTCGGGATTTTCGAAGCTCCAGAATCTCTGAAAATCTGAATTTCTGAATCTCGGAATCTCACAATTTTCAGAATTTCAGAATTTCAGAATTTCAGGATTTCAGAATTTCAGAATTTCAGAATTTCAGAATTTCAGAATTTCAGAAATTCGTAATTCGGTATTTTCGAAATTTCAGAATTTCAGAATTTCATAGTTCAAGATTTTTAGAATTTCAGTTTTTCTGAACTCTAAAGTCCGAAATTCAGAATTTTGTAATTCCGTATTTTTGTAATTTCAGAATCTCTGAATCTCTGAATCTCTGAATCTCTGAATCTCTGAATCTCTGAATCTCTGAATCTCTGAATCTCTGAATCTCTGAATTTCTGAATCTCGGAATCTCACAATTTTCAGAATTTCAGAATTTCAGAATTTCAGAATTTCAGAATTTCAGAATTTCAGAATTTCAGAATTTCAGAATTTCAGAATTTCATAGTTCAAGATTTTTAGAATTTCAGTTTTTCTGAACTCTAAAGTCTGAAATTCAGGATTTTGTAATTCCGTATTTTTGTAATTTCAGAATCTCTGAATCTCTGAATCTCTGAATCTCTGATTCTCTGAATCTCTGAATCTCTGAATCTCTGAATCTCTGAATCTCTGAATCTCAGAATCTCTGAATCTCTGAATCTCTGAATCTCACAATTTTCAGAATTTCAGAATTTCAGAATTTCAGAATTTCAGAATTTCAGAATTTCAGAATTTCAGAATTTCAGAATTTCAGAATTTCATAGTTCAAGATTTTTAGAATTTCAGTTTTTCTGAACTCTAAAGTCTGAAATTCAGGATTTTGTAATTCCGTATTTTTGTAATTTCAGAATCTCTGAATCTCTGAATCTCTGAATCTCTGATTCTCTGAATCTCTGAATCTCTGAATCTCTGAATCTCTGAATCTCTGAATCTCTGAATCTCAGAATCTCCGAATCTCACAATTCCGACTTTTCAGAATTTCAGAATTCCCCAGAATGTCAGAATTCCCCAGAATTTCAATTTTTCAAAACTTTAAAACTTTAAAACTTCCGATTTTCCTATTTCTATAATTTCAGAATTCCAGATTTTTTGACTTTCAAAATCTCAGCATTTCAGAATTTCAGAATCTCAGAACTTTGGAATTTCAAAATTTCCAATTTTCAGAAACGTAATCCCGTATTTTCATAATTTCAGAATTTCAGAATTTCATAGTTCAAGATTTTTAGAATTTCAGTTTTTCTGAACTCTAAAGTCCGAAATTCAGAATTTTGTAATTCCGTATTTTTGTAATTTCAGAATCTCTGAATCTCTGAATCTCTGAATCTCTGAATCTCTGAATCTCTGAATCTCTGAATCTCTGAATCTCTGAATCTCTGAATTTCTGAATCTCGGAATCTCACAATTTTCAGAATTTCAGAATTTCAGAATTTCAGAATTTCAGAATTTCAGAATTTCAGAATTTCAGAATTTCAGAATTTCATAGTTCAAGATTTTTAGAATTTCAGTTTTTCTGAACTCTAAAGTCCGAAATTCAGGATTTTGTAATTCCGTATTTTTGTAATTTCAGAATCTCTGAATCTCTGAATCTCTGAATCTCTGATTCTCTGAATCTCTGAATCTCTGAATCTCTGAATCTCTGAATCTCTGAATCTCTGAATCTCAGAATCTCCGAATCTCACAATTCCGACTTTTCAGAATTTCAGAATTCCCCAGAATGTCAGAATTCCCCAGAATTTCAATTTTTCAAAACTTTAAAACTTTAAAACTTCCGATTTTCCTATTTCTATAATTTCAGAATTCCAGATTTTTTGACTTTCAAAATCTCAGCATTTCAGAATTTCAGAATCTCAGAACTTTGGAATTTCAAAATTTCCAATTTTCAGAAACGTAATCCCGTATTTTCATAATTTCAGAATTTCAAGAATTTCAGAATTTCAGAATTTCAGAATTTCAGAATTTTCGACTTTCAAAATTTCATAGTTTCGGATTTTCAGAATTTCAGATTTTTAGCTCACATTATGAAACTCTTGCATTAAAATGAAGGCTTTGAGGTTGTCGAATCCGTTCTTCATGCTTTCTTCGAGCTGAAATTTAAAAATGAGCTGAAAAAATATTTTTAGACCGAAAACGGCAATGTGTCGAGATGGAATTTCTCATTTTTTAACGAAAATGCCGATTTCAGAGCTACAGTAACCCATTTCTAATCAATAAACCTAGAACTTCGAACCCAATAATGGACTCACTCTCTTCAGGTCCACTTTCAAGTCGCCCAACTTTTTCAAAACCTCTCCATTCGGGTCTGCTGCTGTCGACACAATGATATTCTTCACGAACAACCCGACTCCTACAAACGCAGCCAGCTGAGGGCTCATTTTACTGAACGTGTACATCCCGACATCTGCACAATCCTTGATGGATGTCACTACATTGGAAACGTTGGTTTTGGCGTCTGGAAAAGTTGGATTGTGCAGTGGAGCGCATTTGGAAAAGTCACCTACCGTCACTCATCGTCCTCGACTATGGCTATCTCACCTCTTATCTCTTTTCTTTTATACTTTCCTCTAGTTACAAAGATCAGTGCCAGTTTTTTATCATTTCATTGAAACAATCTAGGCACAAAAAAGTTGTTTGTTTCGAGAATCGGCAATTAAAACTAACCTTTGATTTTAAAAACCTAGATAACACTTGATAAGGTATCAAACCACAAACTGATCTTTAGAACAGTCACTATCTATAAAAGGCCACTCCGCATGAAAGACGACAGAGGCTACCCGACAGGCACAAAATGAGTGGTGAGTGTTTTTCTTATATGAACTTTCTATTTCGCGCTCCACTGCACTTCAGACGCCAAAACCAACGTGGCCAATGTAGTGACATCCATCAAGGATTGTGCAGATGTCGGAATGTACACGTTCAGCAAAATGAGTCCTCAACTAGCTGCATTTGTTGGAGTTGGGTTGTTTGTGAAGAATCTGATCGTGTCGACAGCAGACGATCCGAATGGCCAAGTTTTGAAAAATTTGAGAGATGTGAGGACTGAGATCAAGAGGGTGAGTCTGAAGGGGAAAATCCAACTACCGTAGAAGCTTTAATATAAACTCTAATAGGAGTACTTTTTCGGAATATAGGTTCAAGAGTACATTAAAGGTGTGGGGACAGGAGATTTTGCATTCTACCGTAACGGTGTACAACGCTTAAAAGTGAGGGGACATGAAAAAATAATGTTCTCGAAATTCTGATTAAATATGCCCCTCGAGGAGTTGAACTTGACGAGGCGAGTATTGAAAGTGCGGCGCCGCTACCGACTGAGCCACGCGGGCGAAACTGGAGCGGGCGCCT